CTTTCAGAGCAAGCTCAGAACATGCCACAGCTCTGTGCGACCACTAGTGCCAAGTTTTATGGGACAAATAAAATAGTTTGTATTACTTCAAAATACAGAATGAGGATTGCCGATTACTCTTCCGCTGCTTAGAAACCCAGGTGAACTCCAGGGGTGTCAGTGGGTTGGACCAGGTCGAGACTTAGGACTACTCAATTTGTATGTGCCTGGGTGGTGTTGAATAACCCATTTTCATGTTTTAAATAGCGCTTTGTTTTTTCCTTTTTAACTGGATATGTTTCTGCCAGGACACCATGTGTTTCTCCTGCGTCGTAACCATTATCTCTTGCAGATTTCCATCTCATAGGTATTTTAAAAGCAAGCCTAACTCACAGCACTGGCGTTAGGTTCTTTGCCAACAGATTTGCTGTTGTCCCTTTCTTTTAAAGCTTGGCTGCAGAAGGTCTTGTATAGGTCAATGGGTTAGCACACTTGCTCCAGAAACAGAAGAACCAGTGTCAATCACTCCTGTGTCTGGAGGGGGCCCTTGGCTGTCGTACACGGGGAGGAGGGGGTGCAGAAGCCCCATCTCCATCTTGCCTTTGGTGAAACATCTGTCTCTTCATCTCTATATGCTCACCTGGCTGGGGAGAAGTTGCAAGAGGATTCAACTACTCGCCTGTTTGTTAGGATGCTGACGGGAAAGGCACATTTGAATCCCCCCACACCAAGGATCCACACCTCATTCCCCTGTCCAAGCTGCAGGGCAGGGGTCTGAATGTCAGGCAGGAGCGCTTCTGCGTGCGTACCGGTTTTGTTAAAACCGGTTAAAGCCACAAACTTGAACAAGGTAGTTTCTGCAGCAAGAGAAAGCATAGATGAAGTGCATGAGACACGGGATGTAAACTCTCCCTTGTCCCCCACACATCCTGGCAGTACAACTCTTCTCCACTTTTCATGGCCTCCTGCCTTGCAACAAACTCACAGCTCCTCAGGGGGCTCCGGAAGAAAATCTTCCTTTTCATCACCTCTGCCTGCATACGTTCTCCTTCCAGTCTCCATCCTTGCTGAGCCTCCCCTCTCTGCCTGCCCCAGCCTGTGCCCCGCAGCCACCCTCGGCTGTCTTCTGCCCCATGAGCTCCACGTGCCTCTGGGGGCACAAGTGGAGCTTGGAGGCGGCTTGCCTCCCTCCCTGCTGCTCGGCCACAGCCTTTGTAACAAAACATGCGGTGCTTAAATACACTCGCATGAGCGGCTCTCCACCAGCGCTCCTGGGGATGCATGGGTTAGCCCCAGCAGTAGCCAGCCATCTCCATCGTCAGCCGTCCCCACCACGAGACACACCACACCTCCAGCACAGCTCTAATCTGTTGCTTTTGGGCTCCTCCAGCGAACCAAGAGATACAGAGATTTGTGCTGGTCTGTATCTCCTTAACACACCCGCCTTACAGAGGGGACTGGGCCGACACAACGCTCCCCTTCTGAGGGTCCCTTGTGTCAGACTGGGTATAATCACCCCCTGTCCTTAAGCATAAGGGCTGTTGGAAGAAATAACGGCCACAGTATTTCATACTCTGCCCCCTCAATTAGTTTTCGGGGAGGGGGGGGGAGGTTCTCCAGTGGTGGAGACTATAGCAACAAGTGGAGAGGAGCTGTTGGGAAAAGCCATGGGAAAAAGGGAGGTAAAACCAGACAATAAAAGTCAGATCTGCTGCTGCGTATGGAGACCACCACAAAAATGTGTTAAGGGAGCAGTTTGTACAGCCGGGTTTTCCCATGTCCAAGGCGTACAGAAATTTCATCAGCACACGAAGTTCTGACCCAGCTGCAGTGCTGCAATACAACCAAAGCCATTCTGGTGTGTCAGGCTACCTCACATCAAGGGGGTGAGCGATGCCGGGCTGTTTCACTTGATTCATCCAGCAAGACGCTTGCAACCTCGCTGTTCCAAGATGCACCAAGGTTTTCAGCTATGATATATTTTGAATGAATGCATAATATTAAGAAGAATCATTGATTCACACCATTAGAAAACGTAGGAGTATATAAAATTTTTTTCTACATGAAAAGAATACCTTGACTTTTAAGAGAGGTAAATCCTGTTCTCCTCCAATGCCAGTGTGTATCTGGCATATCACCAGTGAAGCCACGAGCAGTAAGAACAATGTTTTAAGGAATATTTAGAGATAGTTTTGCCTTTTCCATGTATGGATCCATGGACATTTTTGCATAATTGAACAGTGTTGTTTGTTGGGGATTTTTTTTCAAAATTAATGAGAAAAATAAAATTTCTCAACAACAGTCTGGTGTGACTATTTCTTTTAATCGGAGACAATGCTGAGCTCCTCCTTTGCAAGACTTCCACTCTGGGTGTTGAGCAACAGGAGGTGCCCCGAGAGGCTTTCCACCAGAGCAGAGATGTTATCTCAAAAAACCCCACATATTTCATCTCGAACATGTAAAAAAAAAGTATCAAAAATCAAATGTATCAAAATGTATCAAAAATGTATCAAAACTCAAATTGCTCTTGGAAAGAGATATATTCTGATCTGCAATGCAGGTTTGCAGGACTATACTTTTAATGCGCACCTTCACAACTTGAAGTCTAACAGCTTGTTTCACTGGGGGTTGGAATTATCCTTACGAGTTTCTCATAGTGCTGCGAAGCAGGTGTGCTATGACTGCCGCTAGGGACTTTGCTGTGGTTTTGTCACTGTCTTAGGGAGACAGGTTTGATTTTCTGGGCTGCCAGCCCTCAGAGCCACTCAGCAACTTTGACATGCACCTCTTCAGGGCCAAGAATCAAAAGTACCCCCCGCTCCTTGCGGAAGACGCGCAGGAACAGGCATAACCTGAACTACTTTTGATACTACAACTTCAGTTAATAACAACTCCCTCATCCAGAGCAAAAGCAACAGCTGAGGTCGGAATGGGCGGACCGGCGTGTTCAGGGAGATTCTGTCTTGATCTACAGCCCCTCAGAAAAACTTGTAAATCTGTTCCCACAGCTAAAAGTCGGTGCTTTGTTTTGTTAGACTAGCCCCCAGCTAACCCATTTCATGGGAACTGACTGCTAGGACAACCGATCGATGTCTTTAAAAGGCTGTGAGCAGCGAGTGACCCTAGGTTATTACAGACAGGCAACTTGTTTCTGTTAGTTCTCCCCTAGGAGGGAGATCAGAATATACTCAACTCGCTCTCATTTCTTCTTCGTGTACTTACTCTGCATGTAAAAACTTAATGGATTTATAGTAGGAATATCTAGTAGATGTACAGCAATTGTTATTTATCAGTTCTCCCAGCTCTAACACAGGAAAGCCAAGTCTCTTGATTCACTACACTATGTTGCTACATGAGGTATGTCTGCCCCTCGAAAAGGGAGAAGGCACGGTCAGACCCACGGGCTGTTTCTCAAAAAGGGGTGAAAGGATCTCTGCTTTCTTCCACGGGGAAGCGTGTTTCTCTAGAGGGTGAACCAAGAGAGAGAATAGTACTGCAGGGAACTAATTAATTGTTACTCTGTGTGCCACTCGGAGAAGAAAATGGGAGGAAGGGAACAAAATTTAAAGACAGAACAAACAATTTCTTGGTTCCTTCAAAGTGCATGCTCCCTTAAAAACTGCTGTGCTTCTCAAAGGTAACAGCATCTGTATCTTCATGATCCCCAGACTGTAAAGATTAGATGCAAGCGAGGCTGCATCTCCCCACGTTTAAGTAGCTAGCTGAATCCGGACCCCAGAGAACAAGGGTATTATGTTTCCCAGACCATAAGCCAAGGAGAGTGTTTTTATGGGAAAATGCATGCTACTGCACGTAACACCCAGTGAAAATTTTCCCAAATCTACACAACACACTGAGCCCGTGCTCTCCTTGACACAAGGGGGTGTCTAATGGCGCTAAAAGACAAAAAAACATTACAGAATAAACAGGGAGATACTTAACACTGGTATTTGAGGAACACTGCGACAGAGAACCCCGTCACTGAAAGGGTTACCAAAGAACCAAAAAAGGTCATCAAGAAGTCAGTTGCTTGTCCGGCTAGGAGCTGGCTCATGAAATAAGAGCTGTAAACCACCAGCTGTGCAGAACTCGAGAACCACATCTGAAGATACGCTGCCCTTTTCTCCTCAAGAGCAGCCAAGCAGCGAACTGTTAGCAGCAGAGAGCACGGGACCTTCAGGCACACTGCAGTACCGTGCTGCTGCTTTAAGGTCCCCTGCAGCAACTCCCACTTCAGAATCTGCCTTTAATTGACTCTATGTATTAGATGATGACAGGCCCCATCCAATTAGGTCTGACTGATGAGATCTAGGGACCGTTATTTGGAAACCATGGATCAACAGGTTGTTTTTAAGAGGAGAAGGAAATTAGTAAGAAAAATTTCTGAAGATTGCAGTCCCTGGACTGACAAATGCTCCAGCTGTATCAGAGAAACTGATCAACAAAGCACGTCTCACGGTATTTTTGGATAAAGGACTGCTCACATGCTGTGCACTAGAAGCAAACAGAAACGCGTGCCAACTCACCTGTATATTCTACAAATTGGAAGCTGATAAATTCCACTTAATCTGTGTCTATCCTCAGCTCCGCTGCCACTGAAAATACCACTGCACGACACTGACAGCACCGCAAATTATTTGCTATTCCCCAGAATCCTTCGTGAGCCCCAAGAGTGGTTTCTCCATCAACTCTGCCCATTTTCATTTGGTAAATGGTGACATTTCCCCTGCTTTACAACTGAAGCTAAAAATAGCCCCTTTCATTTCAGAACTTCCTGAACTTCACCAGAAGTGTGTTTTATGCAGCAGCACAAGCACTGGGAACAAACTGGGGTTATGAATAGCTGTGAAGAACCAACAGAGGATCAAAGTAAATCAGGCATCGAAAGAACCATCCCTCCCTCTTCAGGAGGGGACTACGCTTTGAACAGATTACAAAACACCACAAACTGGAAACCAACACATCCTCTTTAAAAACACATTTCCAAGAAAGCAATTGAAAACACTGTTCAGAGTTGGGTTTTTTTGCTCATAGTTTATTGGATGAAACAAAACAAAACATAGACAAACAAACAAACAAAAAAGATGTGCATTCCTCATCCCTCATCTGTAAGGCGTCCTTTAGAATGAACAGCACGGGGCTCCTCCGAGTACAAAGGCCAAGAGAGACCACAGTGCCACAATACCAGAGACTCTAAAGGGCAAGAATAATAAAATGCTGTTAAGCTACTTACATTTAGGGCTTAATTTTGTTCTTATTAAGCACCGAGATTCTTTTCCAAACCGTGTCAGGCCAGAAATTCACCCTTTGTGAGCATCGCTGTCACCGCCTCACAAGAGGGGTGCACTTTGAATGTGGAATTCTCTCCTACGACCGAGCTTTCGACTCCGCTGTAGAAAAAACACATCCACCCCACACCTGGGAGACTCTGCCATTCTCTCCTCGAGCTCATTAGAGCTAGCACTACAGCCCATTAAGATAACCCTGTCTGTTACGACAGCACAGACATAGGTTTGTGCTATCCATGCGGTAACGTCCCCCGGTTAATCGGGATCGAGGTTAAAGCCCAGCTGCCCGGGGCCGAAAGCTGACAAGCAGCCACCCAGCAGTCGGCAAGTGAACCCCCTTCCGAGCCCCTTGTTCTCCTGAAGGGCTGGCAGAAGGACATCGCGAAGGAGCGGCAGACTGCTGCCGTGACAGGGCCGGGCACCCTGAGAGGAATGCCCTTCTCCCTCCCCCCATTCCTGCCATTTCCCTAACTCACTGCAGCAGGCAGTTCACGCACGGAGAGTGCCTCCAGTGGCGATAGACGGAAACCCGCAGATGAGGGTGATGCTTGTAATCTCGCAGAACACACCTGACGCTGTAATGAAAGCGGATGTCACGAGCCGTGGCTTGCAGGCTGCTTACAGCATCCCGCAGCTCAGGACAGGAATCTCTCTATCTAAGAGTTGCCACAGCAGAGGGAGGGTGGGATGAAGGCTTGGATCAGAGAGGATCAAGGGACAAAAAATTAAGACTTTCCGGTCACTTACTGCTTAAATTTATTGGAGAGCAGAATGAACTGGTTCTTTGAAAGCCGTCTGACATCAAAGCGACAGAGAGCTTTAAACTCTTGGTAAATCTGCCTTTCATTCAGCCCTGGCCAGCCTCGGACATGGACAACCAAGAGAGGGGGATGTTGGCAGGGAGCATCTTCCCCAGAAAAATTCTGGAAAATGTACAATACTGAGACATATCTGAGTCCAGAAAAACTACAGAAGCACTACTAATATGATCAGAAAATATGCAAAACGTGACACATAAGACAGGTTGTACAACACAGCTGTTGGTGTAAAATTACTTTTTTGTCCCAAGATTCTTCTAAACATGAGTCATAAAAGCAAACTGCCACGATTACCATGGAGAAACCACCAGAGAAACAGCAAGCTCTCTTGCAGAGCAGAGAGAATTAGGGCAACGTAAACTGACTAATGCCATCTTACAGGATAACAATATTAAAACATTTCACAAAGCAGAAACTCAACTCATTTGCCATTTTGAACTGTCAGTTGTGTCATTTGTACGATGGCAACTTCTGCAAAGGTGGGCTCAGGCACTGGTGGATTTTTCTCCTCTAATGAAGCCCTCAACTAGGCTACTGACCTACGCGCCCCACAAACTGGTCACAGACCTGCAATGCATACGCACAATGCTTGAAACACCACCTCGGATGAAATTCACTTTGTTCAGATACTCGGCTAACACGGTGAGATACTGAGAGAAAGAAGGATCAGCCTCCACTGCATCACTACATCAGAAAACAAAACGGAACAAAGTTTTGTTTCTCCAGCGCTGCACTGCTGCACAGCGTCTCTGGAGCACAGAGCTCCTGAAGCAGCTCTTTAACTAGTGACAAAATAGGTACTTCAGATCTTGGTATGTCCTATGGAAGTCGAAAAGCTGCAAGCAAAGGGAAGGGATTTCAACAACTGCCTCTTAGGAGCTTAACTGAAGGCAGTGAATCACACAGATTTCAAAAATGGAAACTAATGGAAAATTATTTGACCCTTACCCAAGTGAACTGAACTTGAGAGAGCTTGTTCAGGGATAAAGGAGTCACAATGCCATTTCCCAACCTCTGAGCCATCGCATGGCCCCTGATTTCATTTTTTAAATGTCAGCTTTGACATAAAGCTACTACTTTCAGATTTATAAAATAAAAATCTAATTAGAACAGTGACATTTCCAGTAACACTTTCTCTTATCCAAAAGGAAGGCCAGCCTGCAAAACAAAAAGGCAGTCAGAGCGAACTGATGACTGCTTTCTGTAGGACCCATCCATGTAATGCCATTTTCAGTAAATATTTAAACATCACTCACTCTGTAGATCTGCACAGTAGCAAATGAGCTGACTTCAGAAGAACTAGAAGGAGGAATAACGAGGTGGCATTAGAACAAAGCTAAGGGAGCATAAACAAATGGAAAGCGAAAATTCACTAAAGTGCAGCTAAGTTACTAAGAGCAACAGACTGTATATAAACAAATATTTCTTAACATCAGATAGAGCTACAGAGCAGGAAAGGAATCGCCAAGTCCCAACACAAACTCTGAAGAAGTGTTTAAGAAGCGTTTTACCTGAACCACAGAGAAATGCATCATAGCCTGCCTCGTGAGGACATTTCTTCTCAGCTGTAAGTGCCCGACAAAATCAAAAAGGAGTAAACACCTTTAGGACGCTGTAGAAACTGCCCCACTGCAGAATCCTAACATTCATAAGATCCACTGTTCTGTTTTGGAGTTTTTTTCCCCCCACCCTCAGCTCTGTTTCTTTCCTCACCCTGAAACCTTTACACCCCATAGAAAGTCTGTGCTTCTACATGCATTTTAAAATGATACCAACAAAAAGGCAGCAGTTACACAAATGGCTGAAAAGCTTAGCGAGATGCACATTAAAAAATTTTAACTTTCATGAAGATCTAAACCAAACTGTGTTGTATATGTTACTGATGGTATGGGAACCATTTCAAAACACAGGAGGCCCTGCACTGCAGGACACCATGCTGCCAGGAGAAGCCAGGAAACGTCTGCCTCACAGCCAGTATCACACTGTGTACTGAACACAACCTCCTGCACACGCAGCACCACTAACCCTGCACATGAGCCACTGAGCTCCCGCTACTTTCTGGGACCTCCCTGCCATTAGCTCACGCTATTTTCCATTCTAGGACCACTGTTTCCCACCTCCCCTTGCCCCTTCCAAGGGCTACCGACTCTTCACAGCCCCAAGTCGGGCTCAGTTCAGCCCAACTTAGCGTAAATGCCATTTGTGCTAGCAGCATGATGCAAACCTGCCCTGCATTACCCTCGGCAGCTACCAGGGACGTGCTGAACACATGACGTTCTGGGAGCCAGGCTTTGGGCCTGGACAAAAACGTGTATCGGCAGCTCTGGGCAAATTCAGCAGACCCACTGGCACTCACTCATGCTTTGCACGTGGACATCCAGAGTAAAACAAAACCCTTTTAGGTACCCGACTTTGAAGATTTGCTTAAGAACATACCATATCTTGAGCAGTCACTTGCAAGAGCTATCACTGGGCACGTTGGATCTTTGGGATTTAGGTTGCTGCTGAAGACAAGTGGATGCGTAAGATTTTTGTCCTCCCTCATTACGTTAGAGACAAGTTACTGTTCTCTAGTGACCTGTGGCTTCATTTCAGAAAAAGCTACTGAAGACTTTAAAAGGAACTTTGGTAGTATTCTGTGAAAAAGCTAAGATACTTAACTGAAAAATATCTACCAGTTTTCTTCCTGAAAGCTAACTCCTAAATACTTCCTCAGTCTCTTCCCCCAATCAAACCTTCTAAGCAGCAAGTCTGCTCTAATTACGTACAAAAAATGTGAACAGAACTAAAAATCAACGGAAAACTCTACGGAAAGGGGTTGACTAGATGGTTCTATTTGAATGGGGAACTCTGGAGGACAGATTAATAAACAGATACCCATGGAATAACTAAAATAAAAGAAAGAACAAAGCAGCACAAAATCTCGTGAGAATCTGCACTCTGAAATTGCTAAAACAAACAAAAAACCCCAGAATCCCAGTACTGTTTTTATAAGCACTAATTTTGCATCTCCTTCTTAGGAGTAGGGGGTGAGGGGAAGAGGCAAAATTTTCCTTTTCTTAGCAAAATTGATATGAAAACAATTTAGCCACAAAATAATTGTAAAAAAAGAGTACTCTTCTACCACATCACGGCTAAGCTCATGAGATAATGATATCTGCTCATGAGCTCCACTTGAACATTGTATTTAGTTACTGCTTTGGGCTCAGTACAGCTCTTTCTTGGGTGCTGGCATTCGAAATTAGGGTGTATTTTCACTGAGAACTGAAACTCACTCATTTCATAACACAACATAAGAAACATGCAACTCCAAAGTTGTACGTAAGGCTGTCTGCAAGCCAAACTTGTGACCAATGAAGTAATGGTGGTACAATCTGAGAAGTGACTTAGAACAAATAATTTATTGCACAATTACTTTACAAGAAAGATGAGCAAGTCTTTTGCTCTTAAATTTAGAAAGACAAGAAATCAGCCGAAAAACATTTGGGAGGAGCAAAAGTATGAACATGTGAAATAGCTGAGTTTGAAATATCTTTCCCAAGAAAACAAAGGGATTGCTGAAGGCTTTATAGCCCACCACTTACCTGCACAAAACCGCATACACCTCCAAAAGATTAGATACTCGAGGAAACAGACATTTCTGTAAAAGAAGAACATGTTAGAAAACCAACCAGGACAGACCTTGTGGTAAGTGAGCTCATTTACTGGTACTGCTGATTCACTGAGATCTAAAATCAGAACGTCTCAGGGCAACACTGAGAACTGGTCACAGTTCTGTAACCACAGGACACTAAGGAAAGATACCCTCTCTTTTGGGTAAAAGACAAGCTTTAACTCCAAACAAAAAGACCTTTGCATCTCACCTTCCAGATGGATTTCGTTACGGTCTTGGTGTCTATGAGGACAGGAAACAGGTTGTGAATGTTCCTTTTAAACTCCTCATAGCTTTCTGAAAGCAAAACACATGTGGAGAAAGACATCATAAAACTGAGGAAAAGCCAATGGTATTTCAAATGAATAAGAAAGAGAGGTGAAGTCAGAGGAACGATGCACCGCTCCAGCAGTTAGAGCTCAGAAGAGGCAAGTAGCGCTGCCGCTTGCTAGGCACTGTGGGTGGCTGGGGTGGCAAATGACCACTGTGCTTATTGTCCCATCCCCACTGCAAAGCCAGCAGCCTGGGAACAGCTGCTACGTACAGCATTACCTGGAAGGGGCTTGTAGAACTTGTCATGAAGATGCATAAGGTCCATAAGCATGTTGTGTCCCACCAGGGGCTACGGGAAGAATAGAAACATAACAGCCCATTGGAGCATATTTTTGATGAGAGCTCAGAGATAACCAATTTTAGGCATGCTCAACAGCTGTAATCTTTTCCTCCGGTGGACAGCATCCACATGTGCTCACCCAAAAGTCATTCAGGCTGCAAAGCTCACAGGAAGACTATCGCTTTCAGGAAGTCAGACTTGTGGACTCTCTGAGGAGGGTATTTTTTCAGCAGCATTCTGGTTGAGTGGACCTAAGGAGCTAGGTGGATTCCCAGTTCAGCTGAACCCTGGTAAAATCTTCCAGCAATCAGATTTATAGGCTCACTCACAAGGGGAGGGACAGCCTTTGCCTGCACATCACCCATAGTCTTCTGAAGCTGAAATTCATTTAATAATCTGCATACAGAACATAAGAATTTCCACACATAATCAGACCAATGGTCCACATGGTCCAATAAACTGGTCTGTCACATGCTGAAAAGCATAACTTGCCCAAAAGGCAAGATTCTGCTCAGCTCTCTTAGACGGTGCCATGTTACTCATGATGTGTAACACATGGATTTTCAACATTGTGGACTCCTGCATTTTCTCAAGTGACATAAGAAACACATTGCAGAATGGGTTCTGGCTTCCTCTCCCCTGGCTGCACTTGGTTTGCAGGAGCAATAGCAAAGCAACACAGGGAAATCCAGTGTTTGGATCCATAATTCTGAGCATGCTTTGGGAGTGGGACCTGGTCAGTAAGAAGATGTAATGTTTAACACTTGTTTTTTTCTAACCATGACTGCAATCTAAGAATTCATCTCAGTGTTACTGACAACCAAACAGGATGATCACGCTGAATGAGTTGAGTAATTTAATACAAATTACTACTTTCTCTCTTATCATCCCTCTACATCCAGTGTAGCAAATGAGAGAGAGATGAAAAATGAGAGTAGAGATATGGCATTTTACCTTCTTGGCTTCAACAAGTGTCTGGAAGACATTGGTGAAGCCCCGGGCAGACAGGAGAATGAGTTCCTTCTGGCAGCAGTCATAAGGAGAGTTCTCCAGAAGCTGACGATGCTGTGGACTCACTTTTTTCACCATTACCTGAAAAGAACGGTCATTGGGTCCCTCAGCCTCCCATGCTAGTTGTACGTACATTGCTTACTGGGGTTCAGTAATGCTGAGGACAAGTTCAGCTTCTAGGCTATGAAGGATGGAGAAACAGTGCATCCCCTGGGACCTCAGGACTGTCTCACTTCTCTTCCATATGGAGATCAGTGCACCAGCAACTAAAAGAGACCTGCTCTAAAGGTGTCTTATCAATACTTCGCTTGTTAAGAGGATGGTTCCTACCACAGTTTTTTTTGAAGCACAAAAGGAACATAATTCAATTTAACTTCATACCAATATGGTACGTTCACGGCACTAAAAAACAGAAACAAACAGCAATCACACAAACTGAGTCCCCAAAGGCTATGCTTCAGGTGAGAAGGCTGGGTAAATCTGTCACTCTGTTGATGCTGATTATCAGACCAAAATAGTACTAATGCAAAAAAAGAAAAACACACAAACAAAACAAACAAAAAACCTTCTGTAACCTACTTCTAAGCAACTGACTGGTATCATGCTCATACCACGTTTTGAGAAGTCCACAGCCATAGGTTTAATTCAGAAAATATTGCACCAAATGTGCAATAGCAAATAGCAAAAACAGCAAGCCATATAACAGAGAGAGTAAAAGTCTTCAAAGCAACTACATGGCAAAAGTCAGCAAAGGAAAACCACAAAAAAAAGGCTAAAAAACTGTACATTCTTGTGGAGGTATTGAAGGAGAGATCTAACAAAGTCTGGAGACACAGAGAGGGTCCCTCCAGAAGTGCCCCAAGGACAAGCACTTCCAGCTCAACGTATTTTGTGGCTACAGGACAAACAGAAACCAAAGTTACTCAGTTTTCTGGATCCCTTTTCTTGGGATCCCACAATCAAGACTTCCCAGAACATTCCTTTGTCATTGTCTGCTCCTCCTGGACCCTATCATTAGAAGTACAAGCAACATTTCAGAGTCCCTGCAAGAATGCCAGTCCTATCTGTCCAGATAGAAACCTCTTTTCAAAAGGTCCACATTCCATCTCACCTTCTTGTCTCCAAGAGGCTGTGTCCAAACATTTTGGAGAGCCTGTCTCAGAACCAGCTGAACTTCAAACATCTGATAGCCTGAGAACAAAAAAAAAAAAAAAAAGTAGTAGTAAAAACTTCAGAGGTGCAGACAAGCGTATTTAGGAAATCACATTTTTCTAGACAGAAGGACTGACCAGATGTTTCTGCCCCAGCATACAGAAAATACTCCTGAATGTATGATCTTGGTACATTACCATACACGATGACAGGAAAAAAAAAAACAACAAAAATGGCAAAACAGAAAAAGGTCACAGTGAGAATTTCAGACAAATTAGCTTTTGTGACAACACAGAGGCAAGGAAAAGGCTAATTGAAAAGAAGAGGGAGGAAGGCGGCTACTCTGAAAAAGACTGACTGTGGTTTTGAAGGTTTCAGAGCAACACACCCAGAAGCCAAGCACAGGTAAGAGGTACCAACACATTTTCCCCCCCAGCTGATAAGGAACTAACCCAGTCCTCTTCTGAACAGCATGCAAAAAGACACCTTAATCGGTCTTACTGCTTACTTAAATGTCTTGTCGCAGGTGCTCACCGTTGCCAGACCCTATTAAAGTATCAGTATCGTATCTACTACAGCTGATGTAGCAGATACAAAACACAGCACACTCCCCACCCCCTGTATTTCACACTCTGCAAAAAAGCATCAGCAGACAAAGCCTTAAATACAAAAAAGGTTATGAAGGACAGAAAGTATTTTATTCCCTGACCTAGAGGATTACGATTTGGTTTCTGTGAGCAAACCTACAAACTATTCTCTGCTACAATTCCCTGTCCCTCAACTCCTCCAGAACAGCACAGAAATTCCTCAGCTCTGCTACAGTGCTCCCAAAAGCTAACGCAGGTGGTAAGTGGCCTGTTTATCCTCAATGGCTTATATGTGTGTCTCCACGAATCTCCTTGTTGCTCCACATGAGAGGGAAGAAACTCTGAAAGGAGACCCGCCTGTCCCTTCTCCAAGGGGAAGAAAACAAAAACCAGATCACCCAGGATTTAAAACATGCCAAAAGTTGTCCTGATTCAGAGCAACAACAAGTTCTCCAGTCGCTGCTCTGAAGAAGCACAAAACGGAAGTCAGTTACCACAAAGCATGCTCCAAGCACCTAGACATCCACTTCCACTACAGAAAGACCCACCACCCCAACGGAGCAGAAAAGCAGAGTCCGGAGATGAATGCCTGACAGGAACTGAGGCACAGACAGGGGCAAAGAATTGCAAAGGCAAGATGGGCACAGATGCTTTCACTCTCAACAGAGCAGTTTAACAGAACAGGCAGCGGAGGACCATAGCAGCCCCAGAGGTTCAGGAGAAGTGATGAAGCCACTTGGAGCCCACAGGTGCCTAAGGGAGGCACTCTGTTTCATACCACTCAGATCCTGCAGAATCATAGTCTCCTCTTCCTCTGCTGCAGCTATCCAACAGGTCACTTCATCAATAGCCTTCTTCAGCACATCCCTGTCCAGAGCACTAAAGCAGGATCAGGGGCAAAGAGGCAGAGTGTGAGAAAAAGCTCTTTACAGATGCAGCCTTGTGCCTTGCTGTGGGAATGCAAAAGCAATTGTTGCACCTCCCAACATTCACCCCGCTCTCCAGATTGTATCCTGTGACCTCAGTCTTCCTTCAGACAGACCACAGCATGCTGGAACAGCTGGCAGCAAGGCATTCAGACCAATAGGCTTTAATATTTCTACAAAATGTGACCTGAGTGAAGGTGAGCCGTCAATACAGTTAGTACTGAGGAGCCACCTCTCTGAACAGTGCTCACCTGCTGACTTTCCAGCTACCCCCCAAGAGTTGCTGGCTAAGGATCTTCTCCTGTGCCTCATTCATGTACGGGATTCCATCTTTGAGGAACTGAGGGAGAAAAAAAAATGCCAGGTTGGTTACTCTCCCCTGGACTTTCTTGCAGCAAATTAGAGAATAGCAGGTTAGCCAGGTCCAAAACCAGCGTATACTTGGAAGATGCTAGTGTTCCTCATTCTAAGAATATCCTCTTCAAAAACACAAACTGTAGGTAATCCAAGATGCATTCCTACATAAAGGAAGACGTATTCGTGTATGGAGGAAAGACAAGGATTTCTGTCAACTGTCAAAAAAATTTCAATTTTTTTTGCTCTGCTTTTACCTTTTCTTTAATGAGACACTTCCAGTATCAAGATATCACAATGCTTCCTGTCCAAAATGGCTGAAAAGTGCTCTTATGTGATGACATAGTCTGAATTTCATAGGAAATGTGGCAATACGCAAGATGCAGGTAAACTGAGACTTCCCCACCTTCATGGCTAGTAAAGACTCCCACTGGGGTCTGTTTAGTAACTCCTCAGCTCACCAGAGACAGGTTTTCTTTTTTTGAGGTGGGGAAATCAGTCTTAGGCTGACAAAGATACAGTTATTGTCTCTGTGGCAGTTGAGAAAAACCAGCACTCACTCTCCCTGTTGATAATGAACCACATGAGGCATTCATACTTTAGCAAGATGCTATTTACACCAGAAACGTAGCATTTAGGGATATTAATCCTAATTTATCCTGTAATTGCACAGAATTCCTCTGTTCTAGATTTCCGGCAGAGGGATTACATACCTTATTATAGTCAAAGCCATAATGAGACAGGAACTGAATGCTAGATGCAGAGAGGGTGAATTCGACATCCGTAACTCCCAATGTTGAGGGAATGAAAGAGAAAGAAGTTGTATGAATGCACCACATACCTACAATGGAAAGAAAAATCTCCCTAGAAGATAGTTACAATAAATGACCTAACTCCTCCCAAGAGAATTCTGCATAAAATCTCAGCTGCACTGTCTCCATTGTAACAGCAAACTGCTTTTTACTTACTTGTTTGAATTTTCATTTGAGAATATTGCCAGCCCTGCAAGAGAGAGAAACCTGCACTGAAATGGCAATGTTTAGTTGGATTTCTACAGACACTGTTAGAATTAGATAAGGGATGTGGGGATCCCCTGATGGAGTGCATGTTTTCCATTCACCAATGCCACAGCGCAAATCTTAACGGCAACCGCCAGGCCACGGGCCAGCTCCCTGAGAGCTGAACAAGGAGAAGGTTTTAGTGCTAAGTGGGAAAAGCAGCCACGTCTGGTTAAACAGCAAACAGATTGAGCAACGGGTGAGAAGAGGTGAGTTGGTGACAAAAATCTCCAACTATGCATACAAGGGTCTGTGGGTCCAACTACACTACAAAAGTATTTGGAAAGAGCTAGGCACCACAGAGGGCTGAAACATGTTTTTTGCTACTTAGGTTCTTTTTTTTTTTCTATTAATCCCTAAAAAGCATGTAAGATCTTACATAGCCTAAGGCTTTGAACAGTATTTTAAAGTTTGGGAACTGCTTTCTTGACCTCTAACTGGTCCTTAACTGTCAACTCTACCACCACAGGCCCTTTCTTGTGTTGATTTTTTTTATTATTTTAGGAATATCAGGAATACTAGCCTTCATTTTCCTCTGATAGTCCCCTTACTCATACACTATATCAAATGACACAGCCTTGGATAGCAGCTGCTGTCACCTACTTCTTGCTTGCATCCTCTGTTTTAAAAGCCCTGTATTTGTATCTGCAACCTTTAACTACGAACAACTTTAGACCAGTAGAAAGTATACAGCCCACCTGACTTTATATTATTTAAAATATTAAAAAGTTGATAGTATGGGGGGGGGGGGGGGACACACGACACACCTACCACAGCAAACAAATGGCTCCGTTACGAGTGAATTAAGACCAGAGCTACCTGCAGGGCCTGCCAGCTGGCAAAAGGCTAGTTACCACCAAGACCTCGGGAGGTTATCTTCTGTGTCAGAACAGCACTTACCAAGCTGAGTAATAGTGAAGCGCTGAACGCTCTGCCTGGCCTTCAGGTACCGCTCCTCAGGGGAATCAAACAGGCTATGAACAAAATCAGAATTGGGGGAAGGGGAGTGGAAACAGGAAGGTTGGCAGCGCACAGGTTATTCTCACAGAGCTAGAGCAGCAAGTCTCCCTCACGTTTCAAGTCCAACAGCTTTACCTGGGTTCATTATTTTGTGGGAAAGTTGAATGTAAGCCAGTAAACTCCGTATCAAGGGCTGTTGAGGTGGAAAGAACACAAAAAAATCTGAAATATGAAGCATGCATTTCACCACCATCAGGACAAGGATCTCTGAAACCCCCCTCTTGACCATAAGCTCCGTGTCAAACCCGCAACCGAAAAGGCAACCGACCGCTGTGGAAGCGAAGCCTCCTGCTCCCTCATCCCTGTGGCAGGGCGAGGAGCGGAAACACGCACCCCCGCACACACCCCGGGAGGGCCCTGCCTCGCTCCTCGGAGTATGTGTCTGTCCCCCGCCCCGTAACTCACGTCCGGAGCCCCCAGCCCACCGAGCCGAGGCCAGCACCGCAGAGAGGGCTCACTTCCCAACCTCTGCCGCCTGTTTTAAAACCCTGTTCTCGTACACACCAGCGCCATTATCGGTTAAAACACACCCCAACGGCCGCGTCGCTACGGCCTCGCCCCTCGC